CTGGACTCCACGGCATTACACCCCACAGAGGTCCCTCCCCTCCCCCAGCTCCATCCCCGCATCCTGCAGCTATTTCCCAACTAGGGTTGCCGAACTCCAGGTGGTGGCTGGAGATATTTCACTATTACAACCAGAGTTCCCTCTAAGCTGAGTTAGCGTGAGCTAGCTCACACTTCTTTAGCCTCCAGCACACAGATTTTTTTACCTGCATTCAGGAAGGGATGGCTCCAGAGCAAACTAATTTATGCCGTAGCCAAATCGCTGGCTCACAACTTTCATGCCAGCAGGCTCACAAAGTAGAATTTTTGCTCACAAGACTCCACAGCTTAGAGAGAGCATTGATTACAACCAGGGGTCATTTCCTGCAGGAGCGCACAGGAGCGGAGCTCCAGCAATGAAGAGCCCAGGGGGCGGGCACATGCAACAAGCCCCACCCCCTGCTCCCAGCAGCCCCGGGGCCACCAGGAGCACAAGGATCTGGTCCCCCCCCCCCGCCCCATAGCTAGCAATCCAAAACAGTCCAGTGGAGCCTGAGCTGAGTTTGTTGCCTTCTGAGACACTTCCAGTGATGTCAGGGGGTGTGGCATATGCAAATGAGTTACGCTAATAGGTTATGCTAATGAGCTCCTGCACGTCTTTTTCTAGGAAATGACCCCTGATTACAACCTCCAGGCGACAGAGACCAGTTCCCCAGAAGGAAATGGCTGCTTTGGAAGCTGGACATCAATGGCATTATATCCCCCCCTGAGGCCCCGCCACAAACCCCGCCCCCTCCTGAGGCTCCACCCCCCCCAAGTCTCCAGGTATTTCCCAGCCCAGAGCCGGCAGCCCGAGTAGACGCTAAACCCGAGTAAACCTGGCGCGACATTAAAGTCCCTCCCTCCTTCCCCCATCCCGGAGCTCTCACCAGTCGGAAGGGGGAAAGAAAGCAACGGTCGGTCGTCGCCGGCGCTTCTCCTTGTCCGGCGCGCGCTCTCCTCTCGTCACCTGGCAACCAGAGAAGCGGCCCTCGAGTCTGAGGGGGAAAGCAGACCGGGCTCCGCCCACTTCGCCTCAGACGTCGTTTTGCGCGTGCGCGGGAAAAGGGCTAACCGCCGGAGAACTTAAAGAAATAAAAAAAAGCTCCAGGCGGCTCTTAGTAATACTTCCGGTCTCGGTTTTTTTTATTTATTTATAAAGATCCGTTAACGGCCTTGGTGGCCCCGAAGAGGGGAGAAAGGCGAAGTGTATAAATTTTAGTTAAAAATAATCTTCAGTTTCACGTTGTAGGATGACAACGTGGTCCCATATATGGATGTATACTAATAATAACGGCTTTCAGCGTTTTTACCACAGGCTTCATACTCGGGGCGGGCGGGGAGCGAAAAGAATTTTTTTCCAGACATAAATTAACCTGTTAAGTCTCGACTATTTCCCCCCCCCCTTTTTTTAAATGGGAAGTTTAAAGAAATAATTTATATAAACATCAAAATTAGTGCTCATTGTATATAGCAACGTGAGTGTGATATCATTGTACCTTTGTTATTTACAGTTGTATAATCTGTTTTAATTTTGTAAGTTTAATAAACATAAAAATTATAAATAAAAAAAATTAGTGCCAGAATGGTATTACGCATGCGCCACAAAGGACGCGGGAACCGCTCCCACAGGAGAGGCCGGTCCCCTTCTGCGCACGCGTTCACCAATCTCGCCCTCCCCACCGAGAAGCGCGTGAGCTCAACGTCAGAGCCCAAACCTTCCGTTGTTCGTCTGTCTCCTCCCGTTCTCCATCCGTTAGGAGCATGCGCAGATGTCAATCTCGTGTCTGCTTCAGCGCTGTCGGTCAAATTGTCGTCAGCCCCGGGGGGAAGGCAGTGCCCGATGCCTGCTGGGAGTTGTAGTTTTTGTGGCGCCGAGATTGCTCTTCGTGCAGCGCAAGCTCGAAGAGCCGAGGACTACATTTACCAGGTGGCAAACGGAGGGGGCGAGAGCGTCTTTCTCCGCCCCTTTTTGATTACCTTCCCAGCGGTGCTCCCTCTCGCCCCCTTTCATTGCTGGAGCTGGGACTGTGCTCAAAGGTGACCTCGAGGAGCAGAAGCGATCCTTTCTCCTGCGATCCACCATGGTTAGTGAAACTGAAATAGCCCGAGGGGAGGGAGAAGAAGCAGGGCTCAGCACGGCTTATGCAACGAGATGCACTAAAATGCATTTAGATCTTTCCTGGGAAGGGGGCGGGGACGAATGACCCGTCGCGTTTTCCCTTATGCCCTTCCACCAAGGTGCATACTTTCCTTCCCTTTCCTATAATATTCCTCACAACAGCCCTGTGAGGTAGATCAGGCTGAGACGATAGGACTGGCCTAAGGTCATCCAATAAACTGCATCACCGGACGGGGCTTCTTGGAAGGTAACCTTCGAAATCCTCCAGCACCGCCCACCTTTGCCCTGCAAAGATCCTGGATCAACAATTCTGGGGTGGGCGATAAGGATATCTCAACAAGAGAGAGAGAGAGAGAGGCAAAATAATAATAATAATAATCTAGTGTGCTTATATTGTAGTTGGCAGGAGCTATGAATTATCCTCTGAGAGAAATAATGCAAGAACAGCACAGCTCCAGGGAAGGTGGAAAGAGGTGGAGTTTGCTTCTTGTCGCCGGGATGCCTGCAGGGATTTTCCTTTCTTCTTGGGGGAGAGGGAGGGGAAGAAGTCTTGCAATGCTCCCTCTAAGCTGTGGAGCCTTGTGAGCAAAAAATTCTACTTTGTGAGCAACTGGCATTAAAATGGTGAGCGAGTGATTTGGCGACTGTGTACATCAGTTTGCCCTGGAGCCCTCCTTCCTGAGCTAAGACAAAAATGTGTGAGCTGGAGGCTAAAAAACTGCGAGCTGGCTCACACTAACTCAGAGGGAACGCTGGCTACAATCAGTGCTCCCTCTAAGCTGTGGAGCCTTGTGAGTAAAAAAATTCTACTTTGTGAGCAACTGGCATTAAAGCTGTGAGCAAGCGATTTGACTACGGCATAAATCAGTTTGCCCTGGAGCCCTCCTTCCTGAGCAAAGACAAAAACGTGTGAGCCGGAGGCTAAAAAACTGTGAGCTGGCTCACACTCACTCAGAGGGAACGCTGGCTACAATCAGTGCTCCCTTTAAGCTGTGGAGTCTTGTGAGCAGAAATTCTACTTTGTGACCTACTGACATTAAAGCGGTGAGTGAGCCATTTGGCGACTGCGTACATTAGTTTGATCTGGAGCCATCCTTCCTGAGCGAAGACAAAAACGTGTGAGCCGGAGGCTAAATAAACCTGTGAGCTGGCTCAGTCTAACTCAGCTTAGAGGGAATGCTGGTTAAGGCCGCCCTACACTGGGAACATCGAGCCCGCAGCTCTGCTTGTGCCTGGTAAAGACTCAGGAAAGTTCCTTGTAGGCAAAATCCATAACTGGGTCAAGTGAACCACGTCTTGTCTGAAGCCTGATTAATGCACCGCCCGGGAATGAGATACCGATGAGGTGGTGAAATGCTGAGGTGTCGAAATGGGCTACGGCTGGAGGATGGCATATGGAAGCATTTCCCCTCTGTTAAAAACGCCCTGCAAATAAAAAGGCAAGCGAAGAAAGAGCGGCAGAACCTTTTCCCCTACTGCATTGCTATGCTGTTTTTTGTGGAGCGTTTTTATGCAAACGAGGGTTCAGAATTGGAACACAGCACCCTGCCCGTCTGCACTACCTGATGGTTCTCCTGCAGGTTTCAACCAGGCCTGAGAAGGGAATGGAAAAATGCCTGTAGCGGGGTAATGGCTGAAGGGGTGGGAAGAAGGATTGGCTGTTAGAGCCAAAGGGTAGAACTTTTTGAATGATGACAAGCACACCTTTAGTGGCTGTGGAGTGGGGGGGAGGAACACAACAAGCACTGAGTCCCCTTCAATGTTCCCTCTAAGCTGTGGAGTCTTGTGAGCAAAAATTCTACTTTGTGAGCTCCTGGCATTAGAGTTGTGAGCTACTACTGCATAAATTAGTTTGCTCTGGAGCCATCCCTTCCTGAGCGGAGACAAAAGTCTGTGAGCCACCGGCTAAAAAACTGTGAGCTAGCTCACACTAACTCAGCTTAGAGGGAACACTGGTCCCCTTGTAGGCAGGGTTGGAGGAAGGCATCGAATCAGTGCTCCCTCTAAGCTGTGGAGTCCTGTGAGCAAAAATTCTACTTTGTGAGCTACCGGCCTTAAAGTTGGGAGCGACTGATTGGGCCGCTGCATAGATTAGTTTTGCTCTGGAGCCGTCTTCCCTGAGCGAAGACAAAAGTATGTGAGCTGGAGGCTAAAAACCTACGAGCTAGCTCACACTGACTCAGCTTACAGGGAACACTGCATAGAATCATTAAGCTGGAAGGGGCCACACAGAGTATCTAGTCCAACCCCCTGGCTTAATGCAGGATCAGCCTGAAGCATCCCGGACAAGTGTTCGTCCAGCCGCTGCTTGAAGACTGCCGGCGAAGGAGAGCTCACCCCCTCCCCAGGCAGCCGATTCCACTGCTGAATCACTCTGACGCTGAGTGCAGCTTGCAGTGTTCCCTCTAAGCTGAGTGAGTGTGAGCCAACTCACAGTTTTTTAGCCCCCGGTCACACAACTCAGGAAGGAGGGCTCCAGAGCAAACTAATTGATGCAGCAGCCAAATCGCTCGCTCACAACTTTAATGCCAGTCGCTCAAAAAGTAGAATTTTTGCTCACAAGACTCCACAGCGTAGAGGGAGCACTGGCAGCTTGTAGTCCCTGCAAGTGGCAGAAGCAGAAGACAAAGAAACTGCCAGTCTGCAGCAAAGGGGAGAGTTTAAAAGATATCTTAAAATATGCACAAGGATGTTAGCGATGTCCCTTTTCAAGGACAGGTGCCAGAGGACTTGCCGGCCCAGTCACAGTCCTCCATTTGCCCTATTTCGGCTCATGGCAGCTCCCTCTGAATTATCTGGGAGGAATTGCTGGCATGCTCCCGGATCCTCTTCAAGGTGCTCTTCAAGCAGAGACGTGCTCGGTTAATAGCGAGTTTCAACAGCTTGACGTTTGTGAAACGGGAGGCCTGCCGTAAATCACGGCCTCACGGCCCGTGCATGGGGTGGGGGGGTGGGAGTTAGTGGCGCTTGCTGGTGGTCATGGCCTGGCACTTTGCTGATTCTTTTCTTGTTCAAGGCATGTAGCCATGCATCTCCTTGCTCCAAGGGAGGAGAAGAGAGAGACTGCCCAGCTCGAAAGAGAGAGCGAGACACGCGCGCACACACTTTTCTCGTGATCCGTAGCTGCGGCACATAATTCTCTGTTAGGTAACCGGCGGGACTGTTATCTCTCATGGCCCAAATTGAATGTTTGGCCTTCTCTCCAGGAATAAGTGGTGTTATCTTGCGTAATCGAAAATGTGTATTCTTTACACTATTTCCAGAGTTGGCTGGGAAATATGCCCCTGTTCTCTGACATCATTGGGATTAAATGGAGATTACGGGGAAACAGCTGTAATCAGACAGCTGACACGAAACACGGTTCCATTCACTGGCATTTGGTTAACAACTGCCGTTGCTTTCTGTCTCCAGTAATCATAGAAGACACTGATTTCTCTCCTGGGTATTGCTAAGGATTGCATTAGGAATCGAAACCACCAACTGTCGGTTCCAGATTTTTTTGTTGCGCTGCCGTGTCTGGAGCAATGCAGCCCATTCTCCAGTTTGGTGTCGTGGTCAAGCGTGCAGACTCTAATCTGGGAGAACCGGGTTTGATTCCCCACTCCTCCACTTGCAGCTGCTGGATGACCTTGGGCAAGCCACAGTTCTGACAAGAGCTGTCCTTGAAAAAAGAGCAGTTTCTGTCAGAGCTCTCTCAGCCCCGCCTACCTCACAGGGTGTCTGTTGTGGGGAGGGGAAGGGGAAGGAGTTTGTCAGCCGCTCTGAGACTCTGAGCGAAGGGCGGGGTATAAATCCGATCTCCTCCTCCTCCTTCTTTGTTCATAAAAAGAAGCTTTGGTCTGGACAGCTGCTCATATCGTGGATTGCAGCAACTGAAAAGCATGTCTTGTGAGTTTCTGTACCGATGCAACAGCTCCTAGCTGAGGCACATTTTTCCCAGATTTGAGACAACTGCACTTCTGCTGGGCAAAAAAATAGTCTCGCTCAGTCACACCCAACGAGCACGCTGCATCTTAATAGTCCTGCTGCATCTGACATCCCTGTATAACCAGCGTATCTCTTGAAGATCAGGCGTAGATGTTGCGGCACTTCTGCATACGTTACTTGCAGTAATTTTAGCGTCGAAAAATCGTTGCCCTCTTGCATAGAGAAGCGTTCACCTGAGGAAGTTATTTTCTCTTAAGAAGGTCACCCTCAGTGTTGGGATCTTATTGGGATGCCTGCAGAGGCCCAACTCTTTCCCCCAGCCAAGACTGCAAGATTTTGTTTTTTCGTGACGGCACATGCAGTAGTGTGTATAGAGTCGTGACAATTCCTGTTGTTACTCATACATTTTTTTTAGTAAGCTCCAAGCCTGTGTGGCTGCAGAGAAGAGAAGCCCCTGAAAAACATTGAACAAATGTTGCTTTAAAAAAACCCAAACAGCAATCAATAGGCTTGAATGGAGATCTTTGTAGTCCAGTGATGAGAGGCAGTTTGATGGAGTGGTTACGAGCGGCAGGACTGTAATCTGGAGAACAGGGTTTGATTCCCCACTCCTCCACATGCAGCTGCTGGGTGTAGAGATGTAAAATTTCCAGAAATTTTGAAGCACAAAAAAACGGAAATTTTCGGGAAAATTGAAAAAAAAATGCTACATTAGCACTTCTTTTTTCTTTTCCAGATTGAAAGTCATTCTGTTACTTTAGGAGCATATAATATGACTATGGACATTTTTATTTGGCATGAAATTATCACAACTAGCATATTAAAAATATAGTGTATCCAAACAATTCAAACCCACGTGCAAAAACAAAACTGAAACCTTTTTCTTTTCTTGTGACAATAGCACCTCCTAAAGGAAGAAATGCATCTTGTTCTTGCATTGGAGAGTTCAGTTTGTAATTTAGGACTAGCTTGTCCTCAGTGCACAGAAATTAGATCAATCTGATACCATACATATTTTTTAGAAATTATGTGGAAAAT